GAAAGTACAGGGACAGCATCTCCTACCCATTAGGTTAGCCATTATCAAGAAAACAGAAAGTAACAAGTGTCAAGGATGATGTGGAGAAACTCGAACCCCTATGCACAGGTGGTGGGAATGTAAGATGATGCAGCTGCTACAGAGAACAGGAAGGTGGCTCCTCAGAAATGTTAAAATATAAGCACTATCTGACCCAGCAGTTTCATTTCTGAGTATATACCCAAACAAATTCAAAGCAGAGACTCAAACAGATATTTGTACTGTACACCTATGTTCACAACAGAATCATACGAATAGCCAAAAAGCAGAAATAATCCAGGTGCCCACCAGCTGAGGAATGAATAAGCAAAATGTAGTATATGAAGAATGAAATATGTATACAAGGGAAGGAAATTTTGATACACGGATGAATCTTGATGACATTACGCTAAATGAAACAAGCTAGTCACAAAAGAACAAAGCCTGTAAGACTCCAACCCTATGATGTGCTAAGGGCAGGTAAATTCAATGACACAAAGTAGAATGGTGGTTGCCAGGGGCTGGGGGAGAAAGGATAAGTTATTGTTTCATGGGTCAAAGTCTCAGTTTGGGGAGATACAAACGTCCTGCAGACGGAGAGTGGTGATGGCTGCACACAACGCCACTGCACCTGCTGTCACTAAACCATATACCGTACTTTAAAATGGGTAAGTTTGTAAATTTTATATGTTACGTGCTTTACCACAATGAAAAAGTAACTCAGCAATAACATCATATTTTATAACAATATATTGCACTTGTCCCTTCATTTAAAAATAACCTGATAGTGAAGGATTTAAGTTGCTAAAACTGAAAGCAAAGCCATTCCTAAATTTTACTCCCTCATGTAGTCTGCTCTTTCTCATTTTGAGAGGGAAAATTAATAATCATTGATTTGCAAACACAAGGTCCCAAGTTCAATCCCCGGTACTCCCCCCCCCCACAAAAAAGCCAAGACAATAATCATTGATTTGGGTACATTTTATCGTTCTTAGAAATTTTAACCAAACTCACAGGAGCAGAGAGTAGAGTGGTGATTTCAGAGTGGGGTGTGGGGTGTGGGTGGGAAATGGGGAGATGCTGGTCAAAGCGTACAAAGTTCAGTTAGGTAGGAGGAATAAATATTAGAGATGTGATGTATAGCATGATGGCTATGTTTAATCATGCTGTACTGCATTCTTGAAACTTCCTAAGGCAACAGATCTTAAATGTTCTCACTGCAAAAAGCAACATTCAAGGTGATGGATATGTTACTAGTTTGATTATGGTAATTATTTCACAACATATATCTCCATCAAAACACCAACCTTAAATATATGCGATTTTTATTTGTCAGTTATACCTCAATAAAGCCAGATGGATGGTAGAAACTTCAGCCTCTGACACGAATAGAGGCCAAAAGGGGCTTCTCATTTGCCTGTGCTGAATAAGGGTTAAATAAAATAAGCCTCTAGATTCTTACCCTTGCCATCTAAGTATCTCCTCTGTCCTCACCTGCCACGAAGATTCAGGTGCAAAAACATGACATTTAAACTAAAAAGAGCACCTACATATACTCAGGGATTTTCAATCATTTTCAAACCACTTCCTCTTTACCAATCATCTCAGCAGCTAAGGGCTGACCTGAAGCAGTCCTTGGATCCAAACACACAAACTTGCCAGAGAAGACAAACATGCTAGGAGCTCTTGATTCCAGCTAAACTTGCTGTGGACTGCCATGCTGCTCTGAGGGAAGCTGTTCATTGGGATGGGGGTGAGATTGCCAGGGCTGCTGATGTGGGCAATAAATCAGGACCTTACCATGCATGGGGAGAGCATCAGCCTGTGTGCCTCAGGGGTCACTGTTGGAGAGAGTAGTGACTGCTGGGGGCCATAAGTGGGCTTTCAACATCTATCACATTCTGTTTCATGACTTGAGACTAGCTGCACAGGTGTGTTCAGTTTGTACAAGTTCATCAAGCTGAAAATTTATGAGGTGTTTAAAAAAGAAAATGTGTGTAAGGGGCAGTATGCAACCATGGTGATAAAATTACAATTAACCTCCCAAAGGGCAGAAAGTTTTTTACTCACCATGGTCTCCCCAGTATCTGGAAAAGGAAGCTATATACTCAGTAAATATTTATGAATGAATGAATGAATGAGTGAAAGAATGTCTTAGAGACAAGTTTCTTGGGGTGTTCTATTAAATAACTCATTTGCAAATATACAGCATAGTTACAGATTCTATTCAAGGAAAACTATGTCTACATAAAAGCATTATTGGAAGCGATTCTTAAGGAAATTTTCTACAACCTCGGTGTATACACTCTCAGTGCCCTCGAACACACTTTTAAAGCCCTCACACCCAACCATTACTGTCTCCACAGTCACATGGGCCTCACAGGAAGTTGCATTTCCAAAAATGACCTGCTCTTCATTTACTGTTACTGCAGCGCAACAATGATCCGATGGCACTGGCATTCGACCCAAAGACCACATCACTACCCTGCATTACCAAGACCAGCTACCCTTCTGAGGCCCACTGCACTCCTTTGGAAACTGAAAGGGCTAGACACAATGTTGGGTGAGTTATCTTTAGCTCTATAATTCCAGAAATACGTGAAATGTTTAGCAGCTTTCCTGTAAAAAAGTAGAAAGAAGGCTGAAAGAAGATCATGAGTCCGTGGAATTACAAACACAAAATGAATCTATCTTTCCAATAAATTGGTTAATAACTCTAAAAGCCGTGCCAGGAATAGCTGATTTCACTTTCATTTCAATTCTTCTTCGCTACTGGCTAACATCAAGCACATTTGCATATGCGCCACACATTCCCATATATTTAGGATATTGAATGCTTTCCTAGGTTTCTATGCTAGGGCCCTATTCCAACTCCACATCCAATTTGAGGAATGACTCTTCTGCAGTCAAAACAATCTAAACGGACATTTAGGATTGGGGCCCCGAAATAGAGGAATTTGTCAAATAGAAACATTGTTTTTTCCTTTAAAAAGTTTTCTTGAAATTATAATATGCCAGGAACATCTCTGTAATTGCAGGAGGCTCTGGTTAGTAAGAACACTTTAGTGACTGTAATAGGTTGGACTGTGGGTTAACACCCACGTACTTAAAAGCTAAATGGAATAAGGAACATGTAAAGGAACTCAGGGCAATAGAAGGGAATAAATTTTTTTCACATGATCCCCTTAATTACAGTATTGCCTGCCACTGTGAGGCCCACGAGGGTCAGAATTAAATGGGCTTATAATATACCTTCCTGGTTTTAAACACTCGGATTCTAGGGTTCCCCTAAGTTAATGAAAGGCCACATTTTCACAGTCTGGGACGGCAAAGTAGAGCAAAAAGCTACTCCCTCCTACTTTCTAGCTGGGTGGCCTCCAGAAAGTTACGTGACCGAAGTAAGCCTCTCTGTCTCATAATTTTTTAAATGAGATTGTTGTTGGAATTAAATGAGATGATACGTGCAACGTGCCCACTGTCAGGCACATGTGAAGCTCTCCCACATGTTTACTGTCATTACCATTAAAATCCATTTAACTGTCACATTATCGCAGTATTTTCACAGCAGAGCATGGTTAGCATAAAGCACTTCCAACCCAAGCAGCCCAGGCCGGCGGGTTTGTATACAGTAGCCACTGTGTTCCTGGTCAGAACAACCCCAGGGGGAGCTCCTGGTGCAGAACCGGAGCCCGAGACCCTATGACACTCGCTCCCTCTCTTCCTGCAAGAGCCTCGGGCGAGGAAGCGCCCAGCCCCTCGGACCTGCACTTCAGAGCCCTAACCATGCCAGCCCCTCCCAGGACATCTCCGCGCCTGGTGTAGCTGAGGGCTGGTGCCCTGCCCACGGACAGCAGACGAGGTAGAGCAGGCAGGCAAGAGACGCCAACGCTCGGCGACCTCCGTCTGCGCCCGCCGCTGCGGGAGGGCACAGGAGATGCGCGGCCGCCAGGGGCCTGGGCCCGGGGATCTCCGCCGGGGCGCTGGCTAAGGCCGGGAGAACACCTCTCCTCGCATCACCCGACCGCGACCACCGGGTACCGAGGTGCCGGGGCGCCCACCCGCGCGGCGGGGGGCCCGGGGCGGCTCCCTGCGCAGATGGCGCCGGCAGCCGGGTGGATGATGCTCCAGCCAGCACCTCGCGGCGGAGCTGCCTCCGCGAAGGGATTTTCCCCTCCGTCCCGAGCCCGGAGCGCTGGTCAGGTCCTCAGAGGCTGGGTGTGGTGCTGGGACTCCCGGGCTCGCACTCGCAGACCAACAAAGCCCCCCGCCAGTGCCCGCACCGCCGTCCTCGCCGACTTCTGAGTCCTCTCCGGAGCGGCGGGAGCCGAGGGAATCCGGCCTCGCCCCACGAACTCGCCCCGCGCAGGTGTGAGCGCCTCCGAACAAAGCCCACGCCCAGCTGTGCCGGGCACCGGCGGGCAATGCCGTGCGCTCCGCCCGCTGGGCGCCCTCCGCGTCCCCGCAGCGAAGCCGGGGCTCCGGGCCCTGCAGTCTGCGGTGCGCACGGGAGCCCGGCACCCCGGCTTCGCGGAGGGCGCGGGCGGGAGCGGGGTAGAAGTTGGCGGCGCTGCGGTGCGCGGGGCCGGGGAGGCAGAAGGAGTTGGCGGTCCGCTGCGGGCCGGCGCCGCCTGACAGGAGCCCCCGCGCCCTCCTCCGCTCGAGTCGCCCCCCGGGGCCGGACCGAGCGCCCCGCCAGGCGCGCACGGAGCTACTCACGTTCTCGCGCCGGCCCGCCGCTCCACCCGAGAGCGACCGTCGTTCGCGTGTGTGACGACCCTGTCGCCTCCAGAGGCCGCAGCCGGGCCGCCCCTGCGCTGTGCCCCGCGCCCGCCCGCGCGTCTGAGGCTGGGAGCGCGGTGCGCGCCGCCCGCGACCCCGTGAGGAGAGGCCGCCGCGCCCGCGCGCCCCTGCCCAGCGGCGCGCTCCCGCCTCCCCTGCGGCGGCCACTGCCCGGTGAGGGGTTCCGGCCGCCCGCGCCTCACCTGCGCGAGCCCGCGAGCCGCTTGCGGGAGGAGGGCCCGGCCAGGAGTGTGCGGGGACGGGTGCTGGGGTTTGGCTGCAAAAGACGTTCCAGAAAATGGGTGGCGTTTAAATGCCACTCACAGGTTTAGGTTTCGGTGGGAGGTCTCTCTCTCTCTCTCTCTCT